GGGGAAATCTACTGGACAGCTTCTAGGAAAGTTTCCCCACTTCTAAAACGAGCCACAGGGAGACACCTAAAGATATCTACAAACCCCAGGACATGATGAAGGGAAAAACTATTATAGAAACTTTATTTCTATTATTTACTATTTACTGTCCCAGGTTTCCAGAGGTGACTGTTAGTCTGAGAACAAAATGGGACTGCAGTTTTATCAAACCTACTCACAGTCCCTCCAGGTGACATTTCAGTCTAATGAGTTGAAAAGTCAACACCTTAAGGGTATGTATGTGACCAGGAAGTGCCTATCATTCCATATTGATGGCTTCGGGGACATGACTGGGAGGCTCCTTTTGTCTGTTGTCTCTATCAACTTGGAATCACTTGGAGATTTTGGCTTGAGTTAACCCTGGTCACAAAAATGGTGCAAAACACCAAGACATTGTTGCCCTGGACCATTTAAGCAGATGATGGTTTGTTTGTTTTCTTGGCTGAATTAACTCAGGTGACTGGTGTGGGGAAGAGTATTTATTCTAGGAGGGCCTCCCCTGGTGGCACAGCAGTTGAGCACTGGGCTGCAAAGCTGCCCGCAGCCTCTACAGTGCCGGTTTGATGCCCGGCCACCGGCGAGGGTCCCACATGGCACGACAAACCTCTCCTGCCGGGCCCGCTGCTCCCCTCAGCAGTGTATTTCGTCACTCTGCCTGTTCTGTTCCCCGCTCTGGCTCTGGTGAGTTCTCTCACCCTCCCACGCTTCTGACTGTACCCAGTGCTTGTATGAATAAATAAATAAATCTTAAAAAAAAAAAGAGTATTTATTCTAGGAAAAGACATGCACATCTCTCCAAATAAAGAAAAACAATGGGGTTGAAGTGAGAACCAATGAGTTCATGTCTATAATAAAATTTCTGTCTCCTGGAAAACACAGAGCATTCCAGTTCCCTAATTCCTGATTTCCCTCTTGGCTTTTTGCAAATCTCGCTCAATAATCTCACTGAGGCCTTTCACAAGTGCTGTTCTTGTCCTTATCCTGCTTCTCCCCTTGTAAATACTATCTAGCACACTGATGTAGTGTGTCCACTGTGTGTTGTTTCCAACTGTTATAGGGCAGCCCCGATACAAAATGGGGTGCCTGACTGTGGGTCCTCACCTGCGCGCTTAAAAGGACTTATCAATGCTCTACTGCAGGCACATGGGAAAGGTTAATAAAAGGTTTATTTGCAAGGGAAGGGGAAATGAGGAAATGTACAGCTCAGGGAGAAAAATGGGAGACAAAGTTTTAAATGAGTCCTACCCGATCTGCCAACCTGGAATCCCAAATGGCATTCTGAGAGCTGGCTGCAAGCCAGGAGCCGTGAAGCCAGGAGGTGAGCGATAGCGAGCCAGCCCAAGGCCCACGTGTTTGTTTTTTATATCCAACCTGGCTGCTTAACTACACCCTGAGGTCCCAGCCACCTTCCCTTTGGTGGTGACGGGATTTGTCTTTCCCAATGTCTTGATGGCTTTAGTCTGGAGTGGGAGTGGAGTCCACAAAGCCTGTATGGGATTAGCTTAGGACATCATTTCCCCCTAACAATTCTGCTAGAATGCAAACTCCCCAAAGGTAGGGATCTTTGTATCTTTTGTCATAGCTGATGTGTCTAGAACAGTGCCTTGCACCATAGTGCAGGCTTAATTATCATTGCTGGTCAGACAAATCGATTTTTCCAGATGGTCTACATCTCTGAAGCAGGTTGGGAAGGTTATACAGAATCAGAGAATATGAATTACATATTTAGTGCCTCCCCAAAGGCTTTCATTGAGTCATGTCTCACATCACACTTTCAATTTTTATGAAGCATCAATACCAGAATTAGCCAGAGGAGAAATAATTTTACATCTTGCAAACATGGCCAATTCTATTATTCAATGTCATTAAAGAAATAGAATTATTATAGAATTTAGTGCTAAAAACAGACTAACTTCTTTTTTTCTTATTAAAAAACTCTGTAACCTGACTTATTTTCCTTATCCTCATTGCTGTTAGGAATACTAGAGGTAAATTTAATTGCTAAGGGCATCGACTGGCTTGCCTCAGTTTCTAGTTGTAATCATTCTCTTTTTTATGTTTTGATCTCTACTTTAGCAGAAAAAGTCATACTTACAATATCTAAATAAAATCACTATCTCTCTATCTTTCTATCTACTTACCTACCTACCTATCTATTATCTGTCATCATCTATCTGTGTTTGTCTCCTAGAACTATTATATCAGATTACCACAAATTGAGCAGCTTGAAACAACAGATTTTTTTTCCTCTCACATTTTCGCTGGTGACTCAGAGGCAAAGTCCACTACATGATTCTAGTTTAGTTTCCGGTTGTTGCTACCAATCCTCAGCATTCCTTTGCGTGCAGCTGCATTATTCCAATCTCTGCTTCTGTTACTACATGACTGGCTTCTCAATCTATTTCTACATATGCCCTTCTTATTTATTTATTTACTTTTGACCATGATTTTGAAATTTAAATTTTCTCCCCTTTATTGAGGCAACATTGGTTTACAACCCTGTGTATGATTTAGGGAAATAGGGTTGCACCTTCTCAGATATATGCCGCCCCCCCCACCACCACCCGAGCATACACAGTCCCTTACCCTAGACCCTTATGTCCTTACGCATGGCCTTCTGACAACAACACAGTCACTAAATTTAGAGTCCACCCCTATCCAATATTATCTCACCTTCATTACCTCTGCAAAGACTCTATTTCCAAGTAAGGTCACATTCTGAGGTTCTGGATTGATGTGCATTTCGGAGAGGGGAGCACTATTCAGCCCAGGATACTACCAATGTCCCTCTTATGTTATGCTCTTACCTTTTGTCTCCCAGCTTTTCCTCAGGTATGTGGTGCAGGTTTCCTGATTTACTTCACATTCACACTACTTTCCCAGAGCTCCTCTGTGCCTGACCTTGAGAACACACACTAAACAGCCTTTGCCACCACACCCACCAAAGATCTTATAGCCTAATAAAAGAAAAATATACTAACAAATGAACATCTGATTAAATCTGGTTAAAAATAGTGAAATTAAACATTTCTGATTAAAAGTGATGAGAACTTAAAATACAAGTGCTATGAAATAAAGTGAGATATAAAATGAAATAATAAAGGGAGACATGATTCAGATTTGATCAGAGAATATGGGCAGATGCAAAGGGGTGGGAGCTGGGAATTTACAAGAAAAGGCACTCGTTGGGTAAATGTCATGGGGAAGAGTATTTGAGGAGGAGGCAACAGCCTGGGCAGAGACCCCCCAAGGTAGGGAAGCTGCTGGTGTGTCATGATCTGAAATGTCCATCCTGGTATGGCTTTAATGAGCTGGAAAGACAGTGGTATGAAGAAACAGAAAGGGTCATATCCCACAGGGCAATACTGGTCATATTCAGCATGTCAGATTGGGCCTTAGTTCAGAGGGGGAGGCCACTGCAGGCTTCCACTCAGAGGAGTAACCCGCCAGAGGGAAAAAGGGTTGGAGAAAGGCAGGAATGAAAATAGAGAGCAGTTAGGGAGTTTCACAGTGATCCAGATGAAGGATAATGGCATGGACTAGAGTGATGGCAGAGGAGGTGGCAAAAATGGGCATATTGGAGACATATTTTATAGAAGGAAGAAGTAAGGCTTATTGATGGATGTAGAAGGGTAGACATGGGAGGCATTAAGGATTCCTGCCAGCTTTTGGAATGAGTAACTGGATAGACAGAGGTGCCATTACCAAGGCATGATGCACAGGAGGAAAAGCAGATTTAGGAGAGAATATCAAGGTTCAGCTTGTGACAAGTTAAATGTGAGATACCAATAGGATATTCAAGTGGAGATGTCAAGTAGGAAGGTAAATATATAGTTCAGAAGCTCAGAAGAAGAATCTGTGTTGAAAAACAAATCTGGAAGTTGTTGGCAAATAGAGGCTTTCTGAAGTCATTTTGTTGGCTAATTTTTTTTTTTTTATGTTAGGCTGGTTTGTTTGGCTTTTTTTTTTTTTAAAGATTCATTTAATTTATTTATGATTACAAGAGCTGGGGTGTTGGCCAAAGGTGTGCGGTGGGGTGGGGGTGAGAGGATTCACCAGAGAGAGAGTAGGGAGCAGAACAGGTGGATCTACTGAAATACACTGCTGAGGGGAGCAGCGGGCGAGATAGGAGAGGTCTGCTGCACCATGTGGGTTAGCTCCCTGGCCGGGGCTGGAACTCTGTCAGTGGCTGCCGACAGCTTCACAGTGCTGAGACTTAACCCCTTGCGCCATCAGGGAGGCCCCTGTTTGGATTCTTTTTAAAGTACCCAAGACTGAAGCTCTTTGTTGCACCTTTTAGTTTCCTATGTTAATCATCTAATTTCTGGCTCACTTTGCATGTTCCTAATTACATCGTAAAGGTAGAGCACTGTAATAAAGAGAAGATTCTTCTTATTTGTGTACCTTGGGCAAATCACTTAGTATCTCTGGGCATTAGTTTTCTATCTGTAAAAGAAGGGTACTTTGCTTTTAATTTAAAAAGAAGCTATGATTCTATAATCTAAGAATTACTGGTTATGGCATGTCTAGATTCTATGCCTATAAAGGATGAATCACTGAACCACTGAAAAATTAGCTATGATTAGATCTTGAGGGATAATTTGAAGTCCACATCATGATGTACAATTAGTGGTTAAAGCAAACATTGATAATGTCAGTCTCAGCTACTATTGATGTCAATACAGGATAGCATTTTTCCTGCACGTGTGAATGTAGCATAGAGGGGAGAAGTATACATTCAGATATTTGCTCATCAAACCAGCATCACTTTTAAACCCAAGACAACATGTCTCATTGCAAAATCCCATAGGAATGGACACTTCCCAAGTGAAGTAACTCAAATAATCACAGAGAGCCCCAGTAGACATTATAGCCTAGAATGAAACACAGATAACAGAGTTCTTCATATTCTTCAAGGTAAAGCTATACAAAACAGCAACACTACAGCTGTTTTTTCTTACCTCAGTGACAGCAAAACTTCTCTTGCCACAAGGAACCACCTTATACCACTTGTCATGTAGCACATCCATAAACCCATGTGACTTGTATTGACTGATTAGCTCGGATATATTGGAGGTGAGTAGAGAGTTGGGTGGGAGGCCAATGCCATATCCTAGGAAAATATATAACATCAGATGAGTTTTTCAATAAAGTGGTTCTTAAGAAGAGATTGTCACTATACTTGTGCCATCAGATCTGGTAATAGGGGACGATGAGATTTTACCATATTTTCTTCAAAGGATTTAAAAATGTCCAAGGATGATTACCTTGGATCTGCTGCCTCTTTGAGTAGATGGAATGAGTCTGGAAGGAAGAGGAATGGGCTATGTATGATCTATTCTTAGCACTTTGCATTCCAGTGCCCTCCCCCTTCCCTTCAAGATCTTTCTTAGGAACCAACTTTGAGGTCTTTACAAAGACTTGGACTCCCTGTCTACCTTTTCTAGAACCCCTCTACTGGACTTTAAATTGGATTAATCATAAAAATCCAATTAAATTGGATTAATCATAAAATAAAAATTTGGATTAATCACAGTTGGTTATGCATGACCCTGATTATTTTTTAGTAATATGGTAGGCCCACATGAACCTATAATATAACAGCAGAAATGAAACATCAAGAACTTATAATCACTTACTTTGATTGTTAAAAAAAATGAAAGTCTGGTATTATAAAAGATGTTAATAAGTGAAAAATCATACATTTTTGTGGGAATTTAAATTGATAGACCCACACTGGAAAGCAATTTGCTATCATTTGGTATAGCTGAACATTTATATACAGTGAGACCAGCATTCTACTCCTATGTTCATTTTCAAACTTCTCCATAAGCACACCAGAGACATGTAAAATAGTATTCATAGAGGCACTTTTCATAATAACAAAAATTGGAGACATCTTTATAAGAGAATGGGTAAATGAATTGTGGAATATTCACACAATTGTTTAGAATGAAATCAGAACTAGAACTACATGCTACCATATGGATGATTCTTAGCAAAATAAAACATTGAGTGAAAAAGGTCAAGCTCAGAATATTACAGCATGAATCCATTGTGTAAATGTGAAAACATGTAAAAGGAAAAATATTTTTTTAGGAATTTATATATAGGTGTGAATAAAAGTATATTTTTTAAAAATCAAGGAAATGATAAACAGATTCAAGATAGTGGTTATTCATGAGATACAGGATAAGGATGAGAGAGGATCATAGAGGTGGATGTAATTTGTTTTCAGAGTTTTATTAATCAGCATGGACCCTGTATCTTCACTCTGTGTGTCTTTACTTGCTTTCAAACTGTTACTACACTATTAATCTCTTTGATGAGCCATGTGAAAGAGGCTAATTAACTACATTTTGTTTTTAGCTATTGGATAGCATAGTCAAAAAAAGATGTTTTGTCCTCAAGATGATTGAGGAAGATAAATTAAAATTATTGTTAGCTCATTTTTCACAGATAAAGACAAAAAGGCTGTCAAGAATCCAAAGATACTTAATGGAAACAAATACCAGCTATAATTATTCTATCTTAAAATTTATTTCCAAGGACATTTGCTCTTGTTACTTCCTTTTTGTTGCAGATACACAACTCCTTTTCTAAAAAATCATGAAGCTTGATCTGGTGAATTCTCTCACCCTCCCACACTTCTGCTTGTATAAATAAATAGATAAATAAATAAATAAATAAATCTTTAAAAAAAAATCATGAAGCTTGAGATGTGTATGGCCAATAAAAGAGAATAAATAATGCAGAAAAATTTTGAGCTTTAAAGATCTGTATGTTTTTTTCTCTGATAATTTTGTTTGTTCCTTAACAATGGTGAGTCAAGGAAATGATGACAATGTCAAGAGATGATTAGAATTTTCCATTCAAAGAGCTATTTTGAGTGCCCATTATGTGTCTAGTAGTTTTGGTTTGAAAGGCAAGACTGACAATAAAAGACTTTACATGGGCAGCCTGTTCTGCTGATGTTATCATTAAATAACATCTTTTGTAATGGGTAGCTATAAGGAAGTAATCAGTTTTCTTTATAAACTTTTATTACAACAAATGCAACTGACAATTCAGTTGCACAGACATTCAGTATTTATTTATATAACAGGCATAGTGCTAGTCATGTACATAATAATAGTCAGTGACTTACTGACATTCATTCATTCATTCATTCGTTCATTCAACAAATATTTACTAAGTATATAGGCACAGTGTTAAGTGGTTGGTATTTAGCAGTGAGCAGGTAAATATGATCCCTGCTGTCATGGAGAGTACACGCCATTAAGGAGACAGATAATAATGTGCAACATAAAGATTATTTCATTGCAAGTAAGGTAAGTTCCACGAGGGAAAAATGGTGCATACACAAACCTGTAGGAAAAGGACTTGGAGCTATCTGGTGGGGGTGGATTGATGGTCAGATAATTGGGCCAAGTTGGCAAACTATTATTGTATTTTTCCTCTGGGAGCAATAGTTTTTAACAATACTGAGCATTTATTGAGGACTTATTGTACACCAAGTATTGTTCTATACTAAACTTTATAGATATCTTACCCTGTTTAGGAAGATCGTGCACTAGACAGATAGTGTACTGGACTGTGGAATAACATTTAGTAAACAAACCACTCTGGAATTTTAATAGTAAGAGCTGGGACATGCTAAGCCCTACTGTGTACCAGGTACTATTGTCCAATCCTTAGATGAACCCAGGCAGAATATATATTACTTAGAGACTTAAAGGTTGAGTAAATAACCTGCCCAATGTCATATATCATGTAGTTGGCAAAGCTAGTATTTGGAAGTAGATGTGTTTGAGTCTAAAACCAATGTGCTTTCTATTATATCCAGTACAACATCTGATCAAGTCAAGGGAATACCTGACCTATTTCCTCTCCTTCAATATAGACCCTATCACTACAGTCATATTGACATAATCCCTTCAAACCAGGCAATTTAGTAAAAGGTACAATCATCTAAATTGATGGTTTCCCCCTCTTAGATGACATAAAGATATTATTTCAGGGAAGATTTTGCTTATAAACCTATCCATGACTTGTGTAGATATAGAGTAAATACACTCCCAATTGATATATATATATATCCATATGTATATACATATAATATATAATTGCATATATATATGTATACACACACACACACACACACACACACACACATATATATATATGAATTAACAAGCAGAGATCATGCCTGGGCACAATGTTTCCCCTGAAAATCCCCTTAAAGCCAATAATTCCAGCCTATGTTGGTGGTGTAATGGAGGATTATTTCATTTTTTAAAATTTAATAAGCATTTATTGCCCATCTACCCATGTATTCCACAAACACGTGTTGATTGCTTATTCTGTAACAAATACTTCACTAAACACTGTGGCAGTCACCAAGTTAAATCGGACACTGAATCTATGCATAAGAAGTTTGTGGTAGCATGGAGGAGGAGAAACATATATAAATAACTGCACAGAATGTTAAGAAGTTACAGTACTTTTCTTGGGAAAAAGAGGGGAGGCATAAACTTAATAAAGGTAAAATATACTGACCAGGATGTAATGAGGAAGACTAAGAAAACTCTGTGGCGTTCAGAGGAGTGACAGGTTGCTACCAGATGAAAGGATGAGAAGGCATTTTAGAGTGACTCTTGATAACAGTATTTTTGGTAGATGAGACAAAAATATGTGAGTAGAAAGTTTAAAATCTGAAATTAATACTTCTGATAAATGCAAATATTCTAGCAATAGAATTTTGATACTACAACAAAAGTATTTTAACAACACTTAGGGGAAAATGATTTTGAAATTGTAGAGACAGTTAAAAAAATTACTACTAGGAAACAATAAATATTAAACCACTCCACTCTATTATGTCAAGGTTAATTTGCAATTAATGGTTAAAAATAGATCATAGACATTTTAAGTCTCCTATTTGAATACAAACATTGAGTGTTGACATTTTATTTTTAGCAGCAATAATTATTATTAGCTAATTAAATCAAACTATGCATATGACACAAGGCAAGAAGTAGGGGAAAAGTTACATGGTGATTAGAAAGGTATTGGTTAAAAGACACAAACATCCATTTTATTCAGAAATATGATAAAACCTTCAGGAATTCATTTCTGTCCTTCTCTTTATCAGTTGCTTTTCAAATGTGATTGTGTTCATTGGTCAAAGAATTCTTATTTTTAAATTGCTGACTCGACTTATCAGCCTGAGTTGCTTTCATTATCATTAGAGATGTGGCTTTGCAATAAAGACGAGGTTGACTCTTTGTGGTTGATGGATGAAGCAAAATGGAATCCTTCAACCCTAAAGATGAAGGCATCAGGCACCCTGGAAATTGGATACAGCTTAATAGCCCAAGAGAACAATTTTCAGAATAGAATCCTGATCTTTCCCCATGGATAAATCAGCTTTACTCAGCTAAGAGTGGTGGAAATATATTTTGGCTAGCAAATGTATAATAAGAAATTCATAGACTTAAAAGAGTCTTCCTGATAAGTGGTTATGAAGTAGATATTTTGAAAATAAGATCTCAAGATAGGGTTAAAAAGCCTTCAAGAAGAAAGATTCATTCTGTTTGGCACTATCTTCTTAGAATACCATATTTAGCTACTCTGGAAAAATGGTTCAGAACATATTACAACAGTTCTGACTATAAAGGAGAATTTAAAAAATTTTAAAAAATTTTAAAAATTTCATAGTGAATTGTGAATTAATAGTGAATTAATTCAATATACTGAGTAATGATAATTTAGTGAGCACTTACTGTGTGCCAAACCCATGTGGACTGGCTTTACATGTATATTTTACTTTATTGTCACAAGAGCACTATCTGAGATGCATCATTCATAAGCCTACTCTGCAGGTAAGGAAGCTGAAGAAGTGTTTACCCTTAGGTAGCAGAGTGCTCAGACTCCAGAGCTAGTGCTCCAAGCATGGTTTTAAATAATTAGTAGGAAGTAAGTAAAAGAACAAACTCAAAAACAGGCAAAGGTCTTTGGCGTTAGAAAGGTCACAAATCATTACTCTGCATTTCCATTACTCTTTTTTCTCTTTTGACCTTTAGTGTCAGCTAACTCCAATGCATAAATTTGGGACATGTGTTCATTTATCTCAACACTTTCTTTTTTTCCAGAGCACACAATATGTCTTTGTGTCCCTGGTGTATGGTTTTTAATATGACCTAAGACTTTCTACATGTTCTTGAATTCTTAATAGTTTCGGTGTGCTGTGCTGAGTACTCATGAAAAGGTTTTTAACTCAATGTGGAGCCACGATCACTCCTCTGACCTTTTAAAGCCTAAATCACTGCAGAATGGGGAATTTGGGAGGGGACACAGTAGCCACACGTGGAGAAAACAGGCATTCAGCTTGATGCAATCAATGACACAGATTTCCCTCTTTTCCAGACTCCCTAAGTCGCCTAAGCACTTCGGAAATTATATACAGACTATTGGGGTGCTTGTGATGAACACTGACAAGTGAATTAGATCCTTATTTCTGATCTAAGCCAGCTGAGTTATATAGTAGGCTATCCATCATTTATTACAAATATTATATGCCTAGCATTGTATTACATCCTGGGAAGGGACATGGCCAGACATATGAAGCATTCCAGTAAATTCAATGAATATATATTGCTCATAAAGTGAGTTGATATTTTTATACCTCTAAAGTCTAATTAATTGATAAAAGTCCACAATTTCATAAGTTCAAGAAACCTAAAGGTCGTTAAAGGAAAGCATAATCTATTTTTAAAAGTTCATTGAAATATGTCTCTAAAACTATGAGATCAACATTTTTTGAAACAGCAGCTATTGGGACTTTTCCTGTGTCACTGTCACATTGCTGTTAGTAATCTATAAGGATCCTCTTTTTGGTTTTATTAAGTTCTGTTTGTAGGCTCTAAATTTGTTAATGGTGCGGTGTCGATGAAATTTTACGATTTGCTCCTCATTCTTTGTTTGACTAAACTGACAAAGTCGAGAATGTTTCGTCCATTCAAATCCACCGTCTCCACTCTCTTGCCTGGAGAGCGCCTCCATGCGCCATTTTGTGTTTATCTCCTTCGAGAACAACGTGATGTCTAGAAAGGACGGGAACTGCAAGACACTTAAGTCTCAGGAGCACAGATGGAAATGTAAACAGGAAACCAGTGGGGAGTTAATTGTGTGGCATCTGGCACTCGGGTCTAGCGGAGGCAAATGCGCCATCTCACCACTGCCTTTGACAAGCTAGGGCAGCCCCCTGAAGACAAAGGTGGAGGATGGAGCCCCTCATTCTTAGGCCGCTACAATGATTCATTGTTAGTAGCTGCTAATGGCAGAAGGGACCTCAATTACCCTGTGCATCTAGGACAGGAAAAAAAAGTTACATCCCTTCCATATCCCCAGATGCCACCAAAGAAAAATGAGAATTTTTCCATTGTTACATCAAAATGGTGTTATATAATGAAGGTTTTTTTTCCCCCCCCCTAGCCTTTTTCCTTTCCTGCCTTTGTTACTCAGGCTGTAGTCTTAATAGAAGACCACTACCACTAAATCTCTTTCTTCCTGAGTTCTAGCCCTGGTTCAGGTGGAGGTCACTGTGCCTGGAGAGGAGATTAATTTCTCCTTGGAGAAGGCTGGAAGAAACAGCATCAGCTGTTACATTCTCATTCATCACAAAAACAAAGACAGAAGTAAAAAATTTGCTGATGTACTTAGGGGAGACAGAGACCAACAGCGGTTGGGAAATTGGAATCGGAATGGTCTTAATACACCAGTTAACATACAGGAAAGGAGAGTTTTCTGGAAATAGGACTTGGGTACCCCCATGGGACTGTTTGAAGTGAAAGCATTTTCTGACAAGTGAGCATGGCTGTCTTGAGAACCAGCATGTACTGTCAGAGAAAGGAAGCTGGGAATTGGGAGATGGGAAATTTGCTGGTTCAAACCATCAACTTCATATATCAATTGTCCAGAATGAAAGGAGTTACTGACAAAGCAATCCTTCTTTTGTTCTCAAATTTGATGGATTGGTTGATCATATCGGAAACAAAAATTTGCTGCCACTGGGGAGAAAAGCAAAACTGAGGTTCCAAGCAAGATTTTGTATGGGACTCTTAAAGCTTACTAAGTATTAAATGAGACTTGTTTTTCCTACTTATTTCCAACGAGAAGAAAAACATTAAAAAGCCCATGAGATTTGGATTCTAATTCCAGTAGTATCATCAAGTTGTGCAATTATGAAAAAGTGGTTAATGTCCCTGGGTTTATATCTGTTTGTATAAAATAAACAGATTGCATTAGATCAACTCTGGGTTCCTCTAGTTATAAAATGCAATCATTCTAGTTTTGGGGTTAAATTCATTACAGGATTTGGCCATTAGAAAATACAGATAAAATTAAAATTGGACTCCCCATTTATTACCCTGTGCCACCTACTCCCAGATATTTGAAATAGCATCATTTGGGTAACAACAATATTTTTTGCTGTTTTTCTAACAAGTGGGCAAATAAATGTTTGTGGAGTAGCTACAAAATAAATTCCTAACTCTAGCAGCTTAATTGTTAAGTGCTTATGAGCTGAAAATGAAAACAAGCAAGATGAATAGCTCTCTGCCTGTGACTTTGGCACTTGTGGCTTGCTAGTTTGGCAAACTGAACACATCCTAAGTAAAAGTGTGAATCAAGAGAGACTGATTAATACCTTCTATGGCAAACGGCTTCCCCACGGTGAGAAGTTTGCAGTCAGCATCTATTGACACTTCATAATCCAGAAGGGCTTTGTCCATGATGAAGGCGTCTAATTTCTCTGGATCATGCCTGTATTTAAGACCAAGAGAAGAAAAGCAAAAAAAAAAAAAAAAAATGATTCATTAATGGACAGGAAGCAATAAGGCTGACAGCTGGCTTTTGTTTAGAGGACAGAAACCCAGACACTAAGGGCAGCACAAGCTAGCTAGCTGCTGACTCAGCCTTGCTGGCATCTCACTGACCTGTGGAGAACAGAGGGAAAGAGACACCCTTATAAGACATCCTTGCTGTCTTTCCAGTGGGTTAATTTACCGTCCCTTTTATTAAATCTAATTCTGGCAACAAAACTGGAGGGACTCGGAATTGAATGATAAAGTGCAAAGAGAAGTTTCATTTCTTTTATGTTAAGTGTCTTTGAGCTAGACATTGTAATCACTGTTCTCCACACATTTATCATTCATAATCCATGAGATGGTGTTATCCCATTTTAGTAGGTGAGAACATTGAGGCTCAGAGAGTTACAGTAACTTGATCCAGGTTATATAACCAAATAGGAAGTGGTAGAGCCAGGCGGTCTCATTGATCAATATGTGGACATTCTTATTTCTTTCTGTTATGATCATTGTCATAACTTTCAGAGATCATGGATTATTTCATATTTATGAGTCCATATTAAGGAAATGCAAGTAACAGATCTAGCACTCCAGAGGGAAAGGGAGTTTATGGCTCTTTAAAGCCTGTGGGCTAATACTTCATAAATGGAAGGGAAAGGACATCATGTGTAACAGAGCTTATTGATCTGATCTATTAATACATCCTGAGATTTATGTTTCACCTCATCCCAGGGGGCAGTTCAGGCAGGAATCGTTTAAGGTGGGTCTCCCTGGCCTACGTCAGGGAATCATCAGTGAGCTGGACTTGAGATACCAACAGACGCCTTGTACATCCTTCATGTGTTCTTCTCCTTCATGTGTTATTTGAACACAGGCCTAGAGAGTCCTGAGGAAGGCGATGTCTTGGCACTGGCTGACCTGCCACTTACAACAGGGCAAAGATAGAGGAGCTTTAAAGGAAACTGTTCCAGGTGTATGCAATGTATCTTGCTGTCAGCCACCTCAAATCTATTTTGGAAAGGTGTAGAACACACTCATTTGAGGTGACTTTTCCACCCTGAGGGTTGTCTATACTGCTTGGCAAAGAGCAACTCTTCTTAATTCATCTGGGCTCAGTCATTCCTCATTTAGAGCCAAAAATGAGGCTGCAGGTATTCAATCAAGAAGAGTGGCTTTTAAACTCAGAAAAGAACATGGCTAGGACCCATCAAAAATCTAAAAGGAAAAGACACTCCTAGATACCACTAATATTTATCATCAGGCAGGAAATACACCTTTACATAGATGACCTTGTCTGGGCTGTACATGGATTACATAGCAAGTATGTGAACTTCCCTTCTCAGTGCTAGTGATCATTATTTCCTCCTTCTATTCTTCCAGGAAGTGAAACAGCCCATTCAAAATGCAGCCCCTTTCCCAGGGGTATTGGATTTAACTTCCAATGAGGTCTATATTTACCTTTAACCAAATGAAAAAACACCTCCTAGCCCCAGGCAGTGGTAAACTTCAGAAAGGGCTGGGGAAGTGAACTGTCTCCTAGGAACTAATGATGAGGAATCTTAATGAAATCCTGGCAGCAAAACACAAATCAAGCCGGAAGCTATTTCTGCATTCAAAGTTTTATTGCCACAGTAGTAGAATGTACTTGGGAGCTATAGAGCAACAAACTACCATTCACCAATATTCTATAAATATTTGAGGTGGCAGAAACAATAGAACAAAGTTGGGGTTCAGTTTTTCTAACCCATAATTTCTGAGATCTTGCTTCAGTGGTATCCTTAAATAACTACTCCTGATTTTGAACTGCAAAGTGTGGTTAGCTATAACAGGTCCCTGTTGCACAGGAAGGCAAGAAGAAATCAGCACAGACTCCCTTGGGCTTCTGAGCCACTGTTGAGGAAGTAAATGGGTATGATACAGGTATAAGAAGATTCTAGACTGGCTGAATTATCCTTATAATTGGCAGGATCTAGGGTAATTTTGACTGGAGAGGGGTGGGACAGGTGTAACTGGAACCTATCCCATACAAGTAATTCCAAGGCTGTGCCCAGCAGGCCAGTGCTCTGGGGTGTCAGGGGTAACTTGGGGATGATGCTTGCTTAGAGTGCTGGCTAAGAGCCTAGAGAGTGACCATAACAGAAGTAGAAAGAAAGCCCAGAAATAAGAGGTGAAGATTCTAATGATAAGCTCTGCCTGTATTCCAATTTTACTTCTATCAGTGAATCACCTGGGAAGCTTATTAAAATGCAGATTTTGTTGCAGTAAGTCCTGCCTGGGGCCTGAGTTCCTGGGTATCTAATGAACTCCCAGATGCTAAAGGGAACATGATGGTGAAGTATGGACTATTCCTTGAACATAAAAGACCTATTTTTCCAGTATGGTTCTTACACTAGTGTGCAGCAGTGGCTGGATTCTAGAACCTGTCTCTAGTTCTGACTCTGTCACTTGCTACCCATATTTGTACCCCATCCATGACCTTCTTCTTTTGGGCCTCTGCTTCCTCATCTGTGCTTACTTTTCTAAGAATTGCTTCTTTCCAGGCTGGAATGGGGCCAACTCCGAGCTTAGGGTCTCCTCAGGTAAAGCTGCCAGATTAAGTGAATACCTTATCTCACCCTTTTCATGCTACCAGAAGAGGCCAGTTCATCAGCCATTACTATCTAGCTGGGAGCCATTGCTGTCTCTTTCCCATCTTATTCTCTCTCTCATCCTTGAGTTTGCCTAAAGGAGAGAATACAGAAAAGGAGCAAAGTGGCACTAAATTCTGTGTCAGAGAGGGGCTCTAATGTTTTAATGTTTTTGCAAAGTTAAAAGTGCCATTTCATAGTACTTGAATATCATCTATAACTTTGCATATCTGAGAGCACAAGAACTCCTCACTGGACTCATTAAATGTCCATAAAATTGTTTTAGGAACCTATTACTAGAGCTCTTGAGAAACTCAGGGCCCTTATGTCCAATGAAATCATTTATTTATTTATTTTCTCTCTTTCTTTAAAAAGGAGGATTTCAGGGTGCATATCTTGCTGTTCTCTGAAAGATCACTGAGGTTGGCCATGCAGAAACTAGTTTCCTGAAGCCAAATGAGTCTAAGGACTGAAGGTGTAAATGGATACCATTGTCCTGAGTCCAGTAGGCAGGAGGGAGCAGACTTCTCAGATGAGGTGGTTATCAGGCCCCACAGTCATGCATTTCCCCAGGCAGACTAAGCAAGCAGACTCATAGCCACACCATCCTCCTTTGCATTCAGATTCTGAATTATGGGCTCTGATAATCTGCCATGGCAATGTGATTGCTCTTGATTGCTTCTCATAAATTCTGATGAGAAGGATGCAGGCATGGGAATTATTGCCTTTTATCTTATTTCCTTTCTACAGGAAATCTCTAAGATAAATTCCAGTTCCTTGTGGCAAGAGGAGACAGTCCACAGGCTTAGAGATTCACTGTAATGGGAAGGGTTGCTTTGGGACACTTTATCCTCTGGCCACATTCCCTGAGTGTTTGATCATTTCAGCACCATTGTTTTCTCAAGTGATGTCAAGCCAGCATTTACTTCTCCCACCATCTGCTACACTAATGACCCCACTGGCACTTTATACAAAGCTACTGCCAACCTGGGACTATACAGGTAACTAGTAATCTAGGTCACAAAATTAAATGAACACTATTCCGTACTGTCTCTTGGATCTCACACAGAGTGAAGTATTACTGAAAGCAGAGTGAATATATTCAGCTGTCATTTTAAAAAATCAACAAGTACTCTATTAGTAGCTAAATGACTCCTCTTTCACTAAGAAATTTTTGGATGCAAGAGGTTGACACTCACTTTAGATACTCTACTCCATCAGTGGTGGCTGGTACATTGTACCTTCTCATATATTCATGCATCTCTGGGAAACTTTGCCTCACATAATCTTCAGCACTGCTTTCCCGGACAGTTCCAAAGCGGAAGCCTTGGGAGGGATGATGTAGCTATGAGGGAGAAAAAGAAATGTCTTTAATATAAATTATTCTTAGAATTGTTTTCAAAGTTTCCCTTTTCTACCATTCTTAGGAATATAATCATGAGGTAGAAATTTTCGAGCACACTCAGGCATAAATAAGCACATAGAAATACGCAGACATAGATATGAAGAAACTCTTTCATCCCAGCTTTCACATCAGTGATTGTTCTATCTAAGATTGAGCATAACAAACATAAAACAAAATTTTCTGCTTTACAGAAAGAATCTATCAGAATTCCAGTAGAAAAAGTATAAACTGGCATGTAGAATCAGTCTTGTTACTATCAATTCCCTTTCAGGCAAAGTACAATTAATTAAGCTAATAAATTAAAGGTAGTGTTCCACCTTGATCAGAAATCTACAAAGGTCAAGTTAAAGCCTTCCACCTGAGTTTGAAATACACATGACTCAAAGTAGTGACTACTTCTCTCTTTTTTTTAAAGATTTGTTTATACAAGAGCTGGGGTACAGGCCAGATGCGAGGGAGGGTGAGAGGATTCACCAGAGACAGAGCGGGGAGCAGAACAGGCAGACGACCAACATACACTGCTGAGGGTGTTAGGGGGAAAAGGATGTCCCAAAGCTAATTCCATATAGGCTTTGTGGACTCCACCCCCCACCCCAGGTCAAAGCCAAAGACACTGGGAACTCCAAATCCCATCACCACCAAAGGGAAGGTGGCTGGGACCTGAGGGTGGGGTTAAGCAGCCAGGTGGATATAAAAGGCAGACACGTGGGCTTTGGGGGATCCCCATTTTGGCTCTCCGCCAGCTCGCAGCGTCTGGCCAGCTCCGAGAGTGACTTTGGGTTTCCAGGTCGTCGGATCGGGTAGGACGCATTAAAGACTTTATTTCCCTATTTTCTCCCTGAGTTGTACATTTTCCTTATTTCCTTTTCTCTTGTAAATAAACCTTTTATTAACCTTTTGTGTGTGCCTGTAGTGGAGTATTCATAAGTCCCTTTAAAGTGCGCGGGTGAGGACCCACAACCAGGAACCCGTTTAATATCGGGGCTGCCCTATAACAAGGGGAGCAGTGGGCAATACAGGAGAGGTCTGCCTCGCCTTGTGGGTTTCTTCCTGGCTGGCCGTGAATCAAACCCTCACTGCAGAGACCGCAGACAGCTTCACAGTGCTGCGCTCAACCCACTGTGCCACTGGGGAGGCCCATGACAACTTCTCTTTTATGGTTTTTTTTTTTTATGTTATAGTATATTTTAGGTATGTTGAATTTATTTTTGGTAATATATGATGATCTCTTTCCTTTAAATAAGTGTAGTGTCAATTGCTGAGTCATGCTGCATATTTGCTCAAAAGGACTAGCTTGTAAGACAATTAGGAGCATCAGACAAGAAGGGGGGCAGGAACAGACCCAGTAATGTTCTAGTTCTCTAGCATGCAAGACCTCACTGCAAGGAGGGCTAGCACAGTGGGAGATCCCACATAGGCTTCTGTCTGGAAGGATTATAAAGATTGAGCACATGAGACCTGTGGGACTTGTTTAAGTGTTGGGTTATTTTAAATGGAGGAATGAACTGGAATGGGGACGTATTATGAAAACAGTAGAATACCCTGTAGCCAGCAGAATTTTAGAGATTGTACTTCTTGGTAATTATTACGGTTATGGTAAAGCTATGTAGCTGTTTACTCTGCTTTATGTTGACATGTTTAAGATTGGTTCTGACCTGCAACCCTGGGCCAGCAGTGCTCGGCTGAGCTTCATGGAGTTTATGAAGCTCTTGAAACTGTAGGCAACATTTTATGTTAATATGTACTTGTAATTTTCTTCTGTGAGATATTATAGTTTTTTTTATAATTAGTTTTTCAAGTTGCTTACAACCCCAAAAGGTTAAGAACTCAATGAATATGGTAACAGATAATTTACATTTGAAGATGAATTAGTTTGACACACATTAAAGGTCTAAAAACATGGCAATCGTGAAAATATTAGATGGCACATCCCCATGCAGTGTATAAATCACATTTGTGAAGCAAACTCATATGACAAATGGAGAAAAAGCTCTTGTATGGCATGACTGAGCTGAAATACATGTAATTATTTTAAGTGTCATGATCCCTCATATTTATCACATATGTAGGTAAACACATATTTTGGAAGAAAAATATATCAGGATATTAGCAATGGTTGTTCCATTGGTATTGGAATTACAGGTTTATTTACTTATTTATTCAGAGATTGTGTACAGAAATATGCCACACTTTTATACATACAAAAATACCTTCCTTTTACAATCAGCAAAATAAGTGAGTTGTTACAGAGGGCCTGCTCTGTCAACTTTCCAAGTTACTGGGACCATGAAGCTAAATACTTGCAATTGTCACCAACCAGGAATTCACCACCTGGTTGACTAGGTGTGCCCTTGTGTTTGATGTGATTGTTCCATACATATATTAGAACAAGGTCTTGATGTCAGCATAACCTTAGTGAAGCATCAACAATAATAACAATAGCTAATTTGTTAAATACTTACTATGTGCCAATCACATTGCTTAGTGTTTTACATGCATTATCCTATTTAATCTTCACTGACAGGACCACCAAGAGGCGCTATAATTACGTCCTTTCTGAAAGGTTAGAAGCTCAAAGAAGAAAAACAACTGGCCTAGGATCCTACAGCTGGAAATAGTAGGGGCTGGATTAGGACTTGTTTGATTACAAAGTCCACGCTATCACTGACCTCATCACTCTGCCTTCCAGCTCATGGCAGCAACTAGAGAGGTATTTCTTTATTACACTCACTAGTCTTTTAAGATATTTAACTTAAGTCTCACAGCCCCTGATGATAGTCACTATGGTAAATTGCAGCCCAATGACTTGAACAAGGCAAATTGATCAGTATTTTCTTTGTCCAATACCTATTGATTTTTTAGGACTTAGATCAAGACTTTCTATATGAAGTGTTTGATCTTATCTAGTTTCATCCTCCTATCCAATACAACAATGACAAAACTAAATTACTGATTACTTATCTGTGCTAACACAGCAGCTTACATATACATGATCTGTAATCTAGGTATTTAATCATCTTTCACACTATTATGCATAATCTCTTCAATCTACCTAAGAAACTTAAGCAGTATTTCTATTATCTTTCCTTTATAAATGAAGAAAGAAACTAACAATTAGAAAGTTTGTTATTTGTGCAAGGTCATACAACTGGAATTTAAACCCTGACAATCTGGTAAAAAATAGTGAGCTTTCAACCACTGTGATCAAGGTTCTGATGCTATGACCAATTGACTCTTGGTCTAGTCATTACAAAATTTGCTACTAAAGTGCCAGGAAGGTAAGTAAGAAATGTAAACATGTTTAATTCTCACAATAATCCTGCAAGGAATTATTTACAGATTGAGATCCTGAGATTTGGGTAGTAAAAGTAACAATCAAATTCTCAATTCAAGTAAGATTCAGCCTTTATTCTTTTTTTTAAAAAATTTTTTACATCATTGTTCATTTTTAAACAGTATTTTCTTCCCCCCACCCCCTCAGGTGTAGTCCCCATAGTTTTCTTCACCAATGCACCCGTGCACCATCACCTCAGTCCCCTGTGTTCCTGCCTCCCTCCCTTGGATCCCTCCCCCTCCTCTTCCCCTGCAGGATGTCTCTGATTTATAACCGTCTGTTTTTGCTTTGTTGTGTTTTGTACTGTTATTATTTTTTGACACTGATGTTTTATATATTCCTGCTATAAGTGAAACCATCTGATATTTTTCTTTTTCCTTTTGGCTTATTTCACTGAGCATAATTCCTTCTAGCTCCATCCAAGTTGCTGCAAATGGCATGAGTTTATCTTTTTTGATTGCTGAATAATATTCCATTGTGTATATATATACATCTTCTTGATCCAGTCATCTATTTTTGGTCATTTGGGTTGTTTCCAGGTTTTACCTATTGTAAATAGTGCTGCAATAAACATAGAGGTACAAGTGTTCTTTTGAATCAACATTTTTGTGTCCTTTGGGCAGATCCCTAGGAATGGAATTGCTGGGTCATATGGTAGCTCCATTTTTAGTAGACTGAGGAACCTCCAGACAGCTTTCCATAGTGGCTGGACCAGTTTGCACTCCCACCAGCAATGTAGGAGAGTTTCTTTTTCACCACATCCTCACCAACATTTGTTGTTGCTTGTTTTTTTGATATGTGCCATTCTTATTGGTGTAAGGTAGTATCTCAATGAGGTTTTGATTTGCATTTTCCTGATTATAAGGGATGTTGTACATTATTTCATATGCCTGTTGGCCATTTGTATTTCCTCTCTGGAGAAATGTCTTTTAAGTTCTTTTTCCTGTTTCTTCTTCTTCTTTTTTTTTTTAAAGATTTATTTATTTATAGAAGAACCAGAGTATAAGTCAGAGGCACAGGAGGGTGAGAGAATTCACCAGAGACAGAGTAGGGAGAAGAACAGGCAGATGGACCGAAGACACTAGTGAGGGGAGAAGTGGGTGATACAGGAGAGGTCTGCTGCACAATGTGGGTATCTCCCTGGCCAGCCGGGAATCGAACCCACCCTGCAGAGGCTGCTGACAGCTTCACAGTGCAGCGCTCAACCTGCTGCACCACTGGAGAGGCCCACTTCTGCCCATTTCTTGACTGGATTGTTTATTTTGTTTTGTTGAGCCCTGTGAGTTCTATGTATATCTTTGTGATCAGTCCCTTATAAGTTGACTGGAATGCAAGGATTTTTCCCCAATCAGTGGAGTGTCTCTCTGTTTTGGTTAATGTCTCTTTTGCTGTGCAGAAGCTTTTCAGTTTGATGTAATCCCAGGTGTTTATCTTTTCCTTGACTTACTTTGCTTTGGGTGATGAGTCTTTAAAGATGTTACTGCGATGTATGTCTTGTAGAGTTTTACTTATATTTTCTTCTATATATTTTATGGTTTCAGGTCTTATGTTCCATTATTTTATCCATTTTGAGTTGATTTTTGTGCAAGGTGAAAGGTAGCAGTCT